ATCTCATTCTAAATGTGAATATCACAAAATTACCTACATACAAACATATATATAAACACACACACACACACACACACACACACACACACACATTACAGGCACATACTTTAGCTCAAATCATAATTTCTGACTCAGAAAGTTCTATCACTGTCTTCTTGAATAGACTGCACAGCAAGAAATTCTATCCATATCAACTGGACCTTCAATTGACTTGGTTTGGAACTGTAGCCTTTGCAACCACTTTCTTTACAGCAGCATACAACTTTAAAACTTACATAAGAAAGGATGAGCTAATTATTGTGTTTTAAGTTCACCTCCTACAATGGTTGCATACCATGCACCATTCCCTTGTCTTCCAAATCTAATTCGTACTGTATCCACAAAATTTGCCAAATTTAAAGTTACTTATTTTAATTATGTTTCAAGTTGCATATTTTTCCTTAAGTAAACTTTAACACAATAATCCATGCCAATTTTACTTCCGATAACACTAACAATATGAATACATAAATCCTGGACATGGGCAGCACACTTATGTCACATAAGTTTGCCACAATTTGCTGACATTACAAATGCTAAAGAAAATAGTATAAATGTAAGATTACCTAAACCTCTATTCTTTCTAGAATCGGCCCATCCTGAGCAGTACTCTGAAGAAATTAATATTAGCATTCTTCCACCATTGTATCTCTTTGTTCTCAAAATGATCACAGTATCATCAGCTATCACTATTACTTTCCAAATTCTGTGATATGTATTTTAGATTATGTGAGAATAAATAGTTCTGTGGGAAGAACTACACGATAGTTGCAATCCCTATATTTGCTCTTAGTCAAAAAGAGCGTCTGAATAGACTTGATTTTACTAGGTTTATGTTCAACTCACTTATAATTCTGCTCAAGATTTTACAAACTTAAATTTAGTAACTGTAAAAGCAGATATACTAAAAGTAATTGTCTTTATTGGCTAAACTGACACCTTCCATACTTGATACAAAATATAACAAAAACTAAACAGTAAAGTCTGCATCAGAAATCAAAACTCATAAATAAAAAACTTTTTTGTTTCTCTCCACATTTATGTTTGAATTGGCAGTATGAATAAAATTAAACATATTATAGGCTCAGCTTATGTGTAGCACTAACACATCTGAAGTCTGTAGCCTGTTTGCCAAACTGGCTGACTGTCAAGTTCATGAAAAGAGCATCTCCATCCACATGCTGTTTTGATGTATACATTGCTCTTGACAAAAAAAATAAAAAAAAACCAAAAACATTCTATTGCATAGCTGTTTTTGTTAAGAATAATTTAAAAGGATGTACCATGAGTGCCTGTATATATAATGGTATCAATAGCAGGATGAGATCAATCCAGTTATTTTATGCAAATAATTTTAAACTTACTTTTAGAATATTTGGCATTACTGCACACTCCTACTCATTCTCAAGCAAAGGATGATATAAATGTGCCTAAATGCATGCTGTTATAGTTCTCAGAAAAAGGTTATCATCATGAAATGTTACCAAACTATAGTTTTATGATACTATCCATTTTAAAATACACATTTATTCCCCCAACACACACGTATACACACACCCAGAAAGTACAAACCCTGATGTGCCTGAGGTTCCCAGTGATGGGAGAGCACTGAAGTCAGATTATGAACTCGTCAAGTACTATATTGTATTTGATCTAGTACAATATTAAGAAACATGCAATTCTGTTAAATACATATACTCTATAACTATACACAGTTTAATACACACATGGGCGCACACAGACAAAAATGAAAAGGCGGATAGTAAAGAAAATCTCCAGTAGTGAACTACAGCAAAATCAGTAATAGCCTGAGTAGCACAAGCACTACTGCAATTTGAATTTTCATTTAAAATGTGGATGACCTTCATTGCTTTTAAAAAGATGAAAGCTAGCTGCTTTTAAAACAAGCCAGCCCAGAGAAGAATGAACATGAAGAGAATGTTAATTTAAATACAGTATTTTTAAAATCTAGACTCAAACCTGGACAGGATGATAAGAAAGATGCTGATGCTTCGGTAGTCTAACTAATCCAAGAACAGTCCACCAGCACCCAAGCGGAATTGCCAAAACTTCATCTTCTTTTACAATTACTACTCCATACATTCACACTGTTGCAGATCCTAATAAATGTGAAATGTTGCCAGAAGATTATCTGAAGCATCGAAAGGAAGGAGACAGTTCTTACCCAAGGAGAAGTAGGAATCCAGCCGTAGGAACAGGAAGCTGAGAAAGGACACCACTGTGTTCACCTTGCAGCTCTGCAGTCTCCTGTGAAGACAGATGGGAGACACTCAGTGATCTCTGTGGCATTTCTTGATTTTGCAAGCGCATACAGGCCTAGAGAATATGGGAAGGCGGTCCTTACCTAGCAACAACGGGCTTCAGCTTTTCAGCCACATGCTCCCCCCCTCCCCACTACTCCCCTGGCTGCCAGCTCCCAGCAGTAACAATAGGAGAGGCAGAGAGGGGTGGCATGAGAGAGAAGGAAAGACACTGTGAAGGAGGGAGAGAGTGAGAAAGGAAAGGGGGAAGAGAAAGAGAGAAGCGTGTTAAGCTTGTCTGGCAGTTAACAAGTCCTGAATGAAGAATGTTAGCAAACAGACAAACAGTGTGTCTGATGCATGCTAATGTCCCTGGATTCACCACTGCCAATTTGAATAATTCAGTAGGCAGGAAAGGAAGGAAGGAAGGAAAGCCCTTACCCCTGTAGCCTGCATGCAGAAAAAGTGTTTCAACTTTTCTCCTCACCAATTTTGTACAACAGTATGGAATCATCAATATGGACCAGTTCCAGTCATTTACCCCAAACTGATAGGTGATGAATGCCTTCTTCACCATCCCTTTGATTGCCCAGGAACAACAGTTTACTGCACCAGCTCCCATTTTTCCCTTTAAGTGGTCTGCATGTGCGTGCGTGCGTGCGTGCGTGTGTGTGGGGCGCTAAGGAAACGGCCAGTAACCTTGGAGTGACAGCTGACCAAAAAAGTAATGTACTATGCACAGTCTAGAAAGGGATGCAGGTAAAAATGTCTATGCAGCTTAACCCGCACAGTGCCAATACTTCATACATTCGTTTAACAATAGGGGCCAGCGACAGAAGGATCGAATACACCAGCATCACGTTCATTAAAAAGCACATTAAAATAATACTTATTTTTACGGCTTAAATGGGAATTCTGATTCATCGTATGATTCGGATAAAGAAATATCAGAGACGGTATATTTAAACCTCAGTTTTGCCATAGGCAGAGTTGTAGATCAGACTGCAGTCCATGAGATTGGGGGAAAAAAAGCCCTGTCCAAGTCCTGGAATAGGTGGATAGTTAAAAATGCAGTGCGGGGGACGACGGCGACACAACGATCCTATCTGCAAGATTTTTTTTTTTTTAAAGTTATCACAGGCCGTTTAAGGGAAGGAAGCTTTTGCGGCAGTCATGCAAGGAGTCCCCCCCCCCCCCGAATGCAATATCCCTCGTGAGCGACTAAAGCAATCTGGCTACGATAGAGGAGAACGGGAGCTACCGAAACAGAAAGGGCTGGAGCTGATGATGAAATAGTGCCACGGCCCTGCGTGAGCAGAAGGCTAGTTTTCATCATACGTACGTACGCACATATCGCCCTCTCCCTCACACAGCCTGTGCATGCGATCTGCAGCGTGTCGAGCTCGCTTTCCTTTTACATTTTAGCATTTCCTTTTTGCTCGCCTCTGCTTTTGCGTCCAGCTCCCCCGCCGCCGCAATCCAGCACAGCTATTCTTCTCTCAGCACAATGCGGGCTTGTGTTTATGACGGGGGAGGGATGGTGCGACGAGAGTGGAAGAGAGGAAGAATGGAGCCCAAGTGGGAGATGCGAACCGAGGCATTCTAACACACACGCACAACATAACCATATGTTTCATAAAGGCGTTTGGGTTAATTAAACTTTTGAAACGCCGCCTCCTTCTCTCCCCCGCCCCCCACTCGCTCCAGAACTGAAAACACATAACGCACACAAAGCCAAATTAGAAACTCACTCCATCTTAACAAATAACTGGGTGTAGGTTTATACTGCAAAGCAGTGCATAAGCACCGTCGGAAAATCTGCGCGGGTGAGGGCGGTGAGAAACCAGGGCAGTCGTTGGAGGAGGGGGGAATCCCAGCGTTGATGCCAGGAACCGGAGGGGGAAGGCAGAGGGAGCCCTCTTGGATATTTTGTTTTCTCATGCCCTTCCTTCCCAACCAGCTGCACAACCAAAGCCGAGCCTGCTTGGCCCTTATAACTATCTTGGCATCGAGTCAAAAGCTGATAAGCATTTGGGCGAGACAGCTCAACTGCTGTGCGGGAAGAAAAACAGCTGCCATGATCGCTGTTTGATTGAGAGGGTTTTTTATACACACGACTGAGAAATAAGCTTTCATAGAAGCAATGCACAACTTTCTCTTCCAAAATGTCTACATGTTTTCTTCTATTTCCCCGTGTGAATGTGTGTTTTACATAGACCCATCCCCGCCCCCATCCATAACCTCGAGCAAACTCGAGGAAACGTGCCAACAGCTCGTTCCTAGTTACCAAGTACATGTTTAAAAGTCTATTTGATACCCTCTTTTCCCCCCTCTTCCTGAGGGACTATGCAAGCAAAAATAATCCGTCCATTCGTGGGGGGGGGGGGGAGATCCATAGCACCAGCTATGTTTTCCTTTTTCGCGTTTTGTTTTTGAAAGAGATGCATATATATACACACATACACTTTTTCTAGCCTTGCCTAACTTTTGGATTTTTCCATTTGTGGCCGATCACTGAAACGCAATTGTAAAACAACTTCCTGCCCCTTTGGCTCAAGTTCGAGGAGCTGCAATGCTACATTCTCTGGAAAACGTTTTTTTCCCTCTTTGCCAAACAAGCATCATATCCCATCCCATCACCACCGCGGCGCGCAAAACGCCCTCCCTCCCAACAATTTGTGAGCGGGAGTGGCGTCGAAGACTCCTAATGTGAACTTTTTGTCGATCGAGCATTAAGAATGTTGCGCAAGAGACGTCTGTATCGCAACTGGATAACCGGTGTTTTAAAAGGTGGGGTATTCTTATACATGTACACGTTTTCTTTTCAATTTTAAACATACGTCTTGCTAGCATAAGAACTGCGAATATATTATGCAGCTTCATGTGTTGTATTTCATTTGTAAATCTGTCACTGTCTAGAACTGTAGCACTCAGTCACACACCTACCCACCCCCGGGAATCCTTTGTCTCCTGGAGTCAATAATCTAACCTGCATCTCTATGGGTGAATGGACGAACGGAAGGACAGACACGTCCATAACCGTCTATATAACTGTATCGCCGTACACAGTTGAAGACATATAGTCTAAAGTGTAATGAAAGTGATTTGAACACATCCATAGCTTTTGGAGGCATTTATTTTCTGAATTATGTCCAACACAGCACTTCCATCACACTGTCATTTAAAACATAAGTTCTTAAGTCTATAGTATTTGCTTTTACCGTATATTTTAGATACATTACACACCCCTCTTAACCTTGGACTACTAATGAAAATATTCATCTAAAGCCTATCCAAGGAAGATATAAGGCCTGCACAACTTCTCCCTCTTTCATAGCAACAACAGTCTTTCTTGGTATGACTCTTTTGGCATACATCAGCCTTTCTACCCATCCAAGTATCCTTTTGTGTCACATCTCACCATTTCAATCAACCAATTGAAACCCCGTTTTCGTATTATAAATAGATGCTTACTTTTTCATCCTATCTGTGCATTTGGAAATTAGTGTATTTATAAGCTTTCTCCCACAATCAACATGAAATCCTCTCAATGCCATAGTTTCGATTAACCTAAATGTACATTTCCAAAAAGGATACTTTGAAATATTCAAAAGTAGAATCTCCTGTTTCTGTAAGATGCTTTGCCATAGAATATACATAGCCTTTAAACTGTGCAATTCAATATGGGTCTATTCAGAAATCCCACTGAATTCAACAGGGCTTACCTCAAGATAAGTGTTGTAGCCTCAAAGGAACATGGGTAGTGCTTTTGCTTGGATGCATATTGCAGATATGTCACCCATCATACATATGGCACAAATGTCTTCAGATTTTGCCCTCTATGGCCATGTGCAAAATTCTTCTTAGAAATAGAATGTATTTAATGAATTTCTATACCGCCCAACAGTTTTAGCTCTTTGAGGGTTATTCTTCCTGATGATATTAATTGGGAGATGTATTGGCTTGGAGAAGTTAAATTCTACGTTTGTCTTTATTTCAAGATAGATTTTTGTGCCATGATGGTGCTAAGCCTTCTACTTGACAATTCACAAGGATTTAAACTTCCAGGCCCTTTGCTCAAATGTTCGTATTTTTCAATTTCAGTCCTACTGTAAATGTGCAGCTCTGACATTATCTGGCCTACTTTCCATCTATATAGGTTGACTAAGACTAAACCAAACATTATTTTAAACTAGTAGAGCCAGGTTTTATTTCAGCATGCATGGTAACTAGCAGCTAGTACAGAAAAAGCTATCCATTTATTGTAATTAAATTGATAGCCTCACAATGTTTGAATATATTGAATACATGACAACAATGCCAACCTCCCCCCCCCCACACACACATCAAACCTGACTTTTATTAATTTTGCCTCTTTTTGAAAAGGGCAGTCAAGAAAGTATATCTCAGCAAATTTGGTTTTCTATACAGGCCTTGGCTAACTTATGCTTTGGTGCATGACTGTGTTTTCTTTCTTTCAAGATAGACATCATCCACAAGTTTCTTTAACGGCTGTATGGTATGAAAATGGTGTGATACCCTTTAGCTATATAAATCACTTAACATATATATCCTCTTTTTCCTGAAGTGTAGAATTAAATGATCATGAAGCAATCAAATATATGGAAGCTATAAAATACATGCCTTACATCAGTTCTTATGCTGCACTGACAGAATAGTGCATTAGCTGAGTAATAGTTCACTACAACTGACAAAATAAATTCAGCTGCATAATTTGAGTTTTGCAAAATCTCATATATATGTGTGCCTTATCTGGTCATTAATGTTGGTCAGTTCTCTATGACATTACCCTTTAAAATTGGGTAAGATGCAATTATGAAACCTATCCTACTGTATTAACTTTTTTCCCTAAACTAAAATAACTTTTGAGTCATTCGCGAGTTGCAATTTTTAATTAATTATGGCACAGGGTGGTAAATTCATGCAGATTTGAAATATCAAGTATACATTAATTCTAAACTATTCTACCAGTATTATCACTCCTGAGATAACATTGGCATTATGTATCATTCCATATTATGTTCTAGAACGTGAAAATAAGTATCAGACAAGGGGATATTGCAAGGGGATATTGTATGGTATCAAATTTTGGGGCAGATGAAAAGTGAATTTGGTAGTTACAATTTTTGATACGCCAGAAATCGTATTATGAGTAGTGGTAGTCCATTTTTCCACATTTATTTTAAAAACTTCTATTTAAAAAAGCAAGATTAACACTCAGTCTTCTTTGTCTAGGTCTCTGAACTGTTTTCTTTTTATTTACACAACTGTTTTACTTATTAATAGGGGAAAAAGCTGGGAAAATCATGCACAATATAGAGGTGTTAATTTCAATTAAGCATTTAATATGGCAAAATGTAAATGCTGCATTTTTTAAAAATTCTGAGATTTTAGGTGACACATAAGGCCAAAATTCAGCATTCATTATTGTGCTGTATATGAATTAACTAGGTTTATACCTGCATGTGAATAAAAAGTGCTTCTCTTATTTAGTTCATACCTCTTGGTAAGAGAGCCATCAAACATTAATTACCATTGAGAATAACAGTGCAATGTGTAACAGCAATGCCCTCTTTCTCACTATAGATTGATGCTTACACTGCAGTAAAGAATTTCATTAAAATAATCTACCATGATGTTCTGTCCTCAAGCAGAGGGACTGCCTAAGAACAGAGTAAGCACCCTTATACAACAACTCCGATTCATTTCAATGGGGCTTGCAACCTGTATGTTTTTTAAGCAGTGATGTTTCACAACAAACTTGGTAGCCCTTTAAAATGAAACTGGAAATAGAATAGGATTAGGATTACTACCATGACCACCACTTGGTTCCACTATAGCAAAGCATCAAACAGTGCAGTGAAATATCAGTTTTAACAAATGTGTTAAAATGCAAAATATTTAGGTTTTTCTTTCCTTAAACAGGAAGACAAGAGATGAAGCAGCTTTCTTCAATATAGACAGCTTTGCCCTTACTGCCATATTAACATCAGTCTCACAGAAGCAAAGGATAGAATTAGGGGTCAAATGTAGTAAAGTTTCACATGTGTTCAATCGCAGTACATGGTGAACATTAAATGCACTGTTTTTAAAGAATTATTTGAGATAGCATAACATTGAGATAATAATAGATGAATTTAAAACATTGTAGACTTTGAAAGGAAGCTCATTTACCTTTCAAATTGCTTTTTAAAAATTGTTATTACAGTGCATCATATCTCACTGTTATATTTCTAATCTATGCTATACTTATCAGTGACAGCATTTGCTTTCAATTACTGAGTTGCTCCATCAGTAACTTTTAAAAGAAGAAAGCAATAATATTCCCAAAATTTCATGGTAAAAGCAAATTGTGACTGGTGTAATGCTAAGGCTGTTCGCATAGCATTAAATATCACCTGACATTACACTGGTATTTTAAAATATTTAAAATCAGTTAGGTAAAGGATATAAAAATGGAAATGTTTTTCACTTGTTGTGGGTGCAATAAATATTTTAGTTATTTAATAAACATGATAAGCCTAAAAGTTCTTGTACCTATTCAAAAGCAAGGAACTCTTTCTAAAATACTTTCTATGCATTTGAAGGACATAAATGCATGAAATACTGGATAACTAACCACCAGTTCAACACCTGAAGCTCAGTGAACTAAAAATTTACTCTTCCTCCTAAACATATTTTATAAAATGCCTTTAGATTCTCTATCTTTTCTTGTATCCTGACACACACCCCATATAGTATTTGCAAAGTTTGGGACTGGCAAGTGACTGTACTTCCTGAGGGGAAATTCTCTTTAATTTTTAACTTAATTTATTTACTTTAACGCCTTTTTAAAACAATGATGTAATAGCCTTTAGAATCAATAGTCATATATTAAATGGATTAAGCAGTTTCCTCATTTCTTTGCTTTTCAGCATTTACAAATATGCATCCATTGAACTTCAATACATGAGATTTATATTAGAATAGTTTTGTTCAGAAAATTACATAGAATTATAGAGTGGGAAAAGAGTGTTCTCCTAAAATTGGGAAAATTCCCATTTTAGATCAATCTGTTTTAAACAAAATTTTATTATGATAATTTTACTTTGCAGAGTATCAAAATTTTAATAGATGCATTGATGTGATGCAAAAAGCATTATGATTCTATTCAGCTGTATTTAAAACAGTATTATCTTTGTATATCGTGATCCTTTGATTTGAAGTTTGTCACTTGAATGCTCCTACTTGTGGTTACACCCCCATTAGGTTCGGTGGTGTTACTCATGAGTAAGGATTTATAAAAATGTTCCCTCCAATTCCTCTAAAACGTTAATTTTCTCACTATTGCTACCTACTCACTCTACCCCATTTAAAAAAATGTAGGGCACTGATCCCAGTGGGAGAGATCTAAGCACTAGATTTAAACTGCTTAATTTTGACAAGACTGACCACATTTTTAAATGTAGAAGGACATGTTAAGTAAGTAGGTTAAATATTGCATCTTTCAAACCATCAAACTTGCTGATATGCTTATATAGTTTTTCTTCAGAGGTAAAGCCACTTAAAGTCACTTTCTGATCAAGGACCCAAAACTGAACTGCAGTAGTAAACACTGAAAATGCTGCATATTTGAAGGTGAAAATTACATATTGCTTTTTGTGTTATATAAAATGATTTTTTATAAAACACACTCTTACTATAAAATATTGGAGTGGGAGTCGTAATTAAACAATATGCTCAGTTTTGTCTCACTAATCAGCAAGTAAGCTGTCTTACAGAAGCTGTGC